CACACCCTGACCCTGCCTCAGGGGGTGGCACAGCATAGTGTGGTACAGCTGGTGGCCCAAGGCACTCTTGTGATGCAGAGCAAAGTGGGGATTCTGTGGCCAGGTATCTGAGGGCATGTGTGATGCAGCAAGGGGGAAGTTTTATAGTACAGCTCAGGCAGCATGCAGCCCCCAGCCACTTGGAAGTGGGACAGTCCTGTTATAAATGATTTGGGTTTTTTTTAGCACCTGTGTAGTAAGTAACTTCTACATGGCATTTTAACATGAACTCACCAGCCTTGACTGCCCAGGGCACTTCTGTTTATTTCTCAGATGTAGGTAACATTTGTGGAGTATTTTATAAAAGTTTTTTCTATGTGAGACTGTAGCAGGACCAGGCCCCAGGAGTGGCTGTGATGCCCCCTTGGTGACCAAACATCTACTGCCATACTCTGGTTCTAGGCACCCTCCCGTCCTTTCTCACCTACCACACCTACGTGCAATTGTTAAATTATTAAAGAAAAGCTTCCAAGGGTCGAGAACATGTACTCATCCTTTCTTTGCCAGCAGATCCCCTCCAGGACCCTACTAGCCCAAACCCAGTCTGTCAGTAGATGGGTCCTCTTGACCCATATGTGCCTGAGTCACCTGTTGCCTTATGGGCTATTCACAGCCTCTGACCTCCTCTACAGCCATACTTATGCCTTGCAGATGTTATGCGTCATCATTCCAGTTGAACTGTTGTCCCTAAAGTCACCAGGCTACCTCAGGCCTTTACTCCCTTGGTAGCCTTTCCCAGCTCTGCTGTAGCTGGTCCCTTAGCCAAGGCGCACTGTCCTGGACCTGGCTTCTGGGATCCAGCCCTGTCAGCTGTTAGTGCCTCTCTGGGCCTCTGGCCTGTTTTTCACTCAAGGCCCCTTGCCCCAGAATTTGCCCTTCTGAGCTGCTGGGTCCCTGGCCCTGTTCTCACCCCCCTTGGGCAATACTGGGCTTCCTGGCCCTGTCTCTGCCCTGTTAAGGTGTTGGGCCCTCTGCTCTGGTCAGTGCCTTGAGCCTGACCCCTGGCAGGGCTCAAGGCAGTCACGTGCCCCTCGGGCACAAATGGGATGTCTAAGCCACCCCTGTAGTCCTAAACCCAAACCACTGGTCTAAACCATAACACATTAAGAAAGCCCTCTGGCTGTAACAGAAAACTATCCCTCTACTGGGTCTCAACATAAGCACCAGATCCATGGCTGTATGTAACAACACTTGCCCTCAGTATTTTACTGGTGTTCCCAGAGCAGCTCCACAGTGACGCTCTGCAGCCTTCCTGGTCAGGAGCTCCTTCCTCTGCAGCTTTCAGGGGCAGGCTGATTGCTTGCTCTCAGGCACTGGCTTTGTTTCATAGTTTCTAGGGTTGGAAGAGACCCGAGCAGATCATCGAGTCCGACCCCCTGCCATGGCA